TGGCAAACATTTTATCTTAGAAAACTGGTTGTATGATGGTTAAATTATGTAATATCATTTCTGTGCTAAGTCCGGTAAGATGTAAATTTAATTTACTTATCAGTTATGGGTTTCTTATTTTGCGGTATTTATTTCTCTTACGTACGTACAAGAACAATTTAGCGTGTATTTACCAAAGTTCTGGAAGCCGACCATAAAAATTGTACGCCGTGACAATAACCTGTACGTACGTACGTACGTACGTAATAAGCAATTTAGGGGCACTACATCACTGCAGCAATGCTGGATTTCAGGGATTCAACAATAAAATTTCTGAAACTGCTTGCTCTTGTCATGTGCCTGAAGCTTTCAATGACAGGTCAACATTGAGCAGCATTCAATACCAATGATACAATTTTGGTTTCTAATTGTTAATCAATCCTTACAATATTTATTTTAGAGTTATTTGAAGTGTTTGCTGCGGGAATTAACAATCCTTTGTAGCGACCCAGATGACTATATCCGCATCCGACGCAGATATTATTTAAACAGGTATATCAAAATCTGATATTAGATCAGATTGGATTATCCTTTATCTTCTTTGCAGATATCTTGCATTCGACTGAAAGATTATAACGATAATGTAAAAAATAATTTCTTGTTATCTGGCAGGTATGACATATACACTTACGGAAAGTAAGGTTTATGAAACAATGTCAAGGTGGATCAAAGTTGATCTCCTTAAATATCAATATATTTTTTTTCCAATTTGTGAAGAGTAAGGATTTGACTTTTTTTCTTTTTTTGATTTTATTTTAAAATGATACTTACGTATTTTCTTGATTAAGTCAACATTGGTATTTAGTACAAATCATCAATCCGGCTGCAATTATTGACAATCCACTTGATTGTCATATAGCGATTTATGACTCCATTGCACCAAGGTTTAAGCATAGACGTGCTGTGAACATACTTAAAAATTTACTAATCGATTATGTGCAAGATGTTAAAGGTGAAACAATTAATAAAAGCGTAAAGATTTCGCACTCAATCGTAAATACACCAAAACAGTTAAACACAGTCGATTGTGGAGTTTATATTCTACACTTTATAGAAACATTCATGGAGAATTCTAATGAAC